CATGCCTGTCCTAACAAGGTAGAAAAAAAAATTTTTTTTTTCCTGGGTTTAGTGGTTTTTCTTTTTGTTTTGGCCAATGTTCGAAGGCAAAAAGAAGCATCGCTCAACCGAAGATGGGCAGTTTGTGCTGCTGTCAATGAGTGATATAACAATATTTTAGCTTCTGAATGGTAAGTATATGTGTTTTTTCATTGGCCTGTTTTTTGTTGGCACCAGGTATACATACTGGGTGACTACAGAAGTAAATTTCAGTTGTAAGTTAGTGCTGTGTCTCTCCCTATCTTCCTCGTCCGTGTCTCGTTGCACTTTTTTTAAGTATTACAAGGAACGAGTCCTACAAAAACAGAGCTGGCAAGAGAAACAACCATTTCCTTCCAGGCCCCACCAGAAATAGAGGTTGGACGTACCAAGTGGTGCAGCCCCCAAACACCAATGAAGGTGTCGGGGGAACCTGCCACAAAAAGTAGGAGCTGAAGCTCATCCCACATCTGGGTTTCAGGCGAGCATTATGGAACAAGGCTAAAGCTAGCACCGGGTCCCAACACCACCGACACAGATTCTGCAATGATTGTAGTAGCAGCGAGCTGAGATTCAACGACTTCATGACTGGAAATTGAACGGCCGTCGAAAGATACGAAGAATATCAAGCATACACTAACTAGCTGAAACACGTATAACATTTTATGGCTGCCCCCTACAACTATGTATTACAAAGAGGGCACAGAAAGTCTGAAGGGTTTCCCCTTCCCGCCGGAACAGTGGCCAACAGCAGTGCTTTCTCTGCCTGCCCGACACTGTGAATTGTGACTGCTAGGTAGGCTCTGGCACTTGCATCTATGTCAGCCCCCAAAATGATTCCTAGCTGACAGCTGTTGCTTTCTAGACACCTCACGATGGACTGCAGAGGACGCTACGAGCAATCAAAGCCAACATCGTGCCATGCAAGTGTCAAGTGAGAGAAGGGCTGCAACATGCGGGGCGCGTAGTCACGAGATACGTTTGCAGCGCTGGATTCGCTGGAATGACTTGTAGTGTCCGCTGTGGTCGATCGTAAGGTGAAACCGACTGAGCACAGAAGGCCGGTACCGAGAAAATGTACAAAAATGGCATCTAACAGACATGATTCACAGGTACCAAAAAGGCAAAATCAGCACCGTTGTTTGCCGCTGTTCGGTTTAAAAGAGAAACCTGCGGGATGTTCTGTGCACATCACTCTTGCAGCAGTGGTTCCAGGGGTGCTTACTAGGTACTGTTTGTTTGTCTGTCAGGCATTCACTAATATTTACACCTCTGCTGTACAATAGCATGACATGCACGGCACCCATATTTATGTTAGACTCTTTATAGCCTCAAATAATACAAGAGGTACTACAGTGCTGGTAGCACCTGAACAAAACAGCAAAGAACCAAATACCATGTGACCTGTTTTCAGGCAACTATTGTAGCGCCTCCGAGTACTCAAATAAAAGTGCCTAGGTGACATACAACTGCAATAATCAGAATAGCTACACGACCATTGCCGAGTAGCTAGCTCAAAACTGCACCCACCCCTGGAATTTTTTATGTTTTAAGGAAGTGCTGATGAAGTATAACCTGAGGCATTAGACAAGTCTGCATAGTTGATGCAGAAAGCAACAGAGCAATGCTTTTTTTTTTGCTTTCAAACACTGGCCATAAAGAGAAGCTGTATTTTAGTTACAAAACTGCAAGGTTGGACCACAGCCTTTGGTGTCTACAGCCATCACCTCAAAGAAGGACTCAAGTCTCAAGAGGTTGACGTCCATTATTACTGCAGTCTAAGCTGTATGATGTAAGAATTTTACACAAAAATGCTTTAAAAAAAAAGACACTTACATTATTGTTTTACCCTGGGCTAACAAATGTTCTAAACAAAGTATGTGATAAATATTGTTGCCTACTGTCAGGGAAAGGCAGTATTTCAAATACAAGTATTTGAAATACGTATTTTAGATACTTTCTGTATTTTGCATTTGTATTTAATCACAAATTGGGTAATGTATTTGATGTGTATTTAAATACTAAAACATGGGTATTTCAAATACAATTGTAATTAAATACAATTTTGTGGGCAAAAATACATCCCTCAAATTTTTGTCACGACTCATTTTGCTCATCCTAAGACGTGTCCAGAGCAGGAAGAAAACTACGTTCTGCACCGAATGCAGTGCCTCTCAATCAAGCACAAGCGTTTAGTGACCTTGTGATTATGGTGCTAGTCCAGGGCAAGGATAGTGACGAAATCGACGTTCACAGGCAGGCTGGCTAAATAAGTGCCTGTGACAACTTGTGATGCTTTCCAGCCTGATTTCCATCCATATTTTTGCCTGGAGCATTCTAAATGCGCGGGTCGTCCAGATTTTCGTAACTGGTGCAAGTTGCAACAATAAAAAATTCTCCAGCTAGTGCTGCGCGTCTTGGTCGTCTCGGTTCTTTGTTGGTCTATACCAGGGGTGGCCAGGCTGGCCTGGTCTAAGAGCCGCAAACAAAACCACGGAACTTCCAAGAGCCGCGGGGGGGGGGGGGGGGGTGCAAACTTGACTTTTGTTTAGAGTCTGAGTGTAGGTATGTGGGCACAACAGGCTGTACAACTGTACGTATGGGAAATGCTTCCAAACTGCAAGCTGCAGTGTGCTTTATTCTGAAATCTTTTATTTTTTTTTCCTGGGGAGAAGGGGGGGGGGGGGGGGGGGTCCCCTTACGAGGGATCCGCGAGCCGCACTTGGACCAGCAAAGAGCCGCATGCGGCTCGCGAGCCGCGGTTTGGCCACCCCTGGTCTATACCAAAATGTAATCGACAAGAAAAGCTGCTTGAAGCCCTGTACTTTTTCACCTATGTATTACGTCCAAGCTGATTACATTTTTTGTGATTATATTTCTATTACGTTACTAGAGCCTCGCACACTAACTCCCGAGTGTGCGATGCAAAATTAAAATGATACACAGAAACCTGTTGCAGGTGCCCTGAAGTCGCTGACGCAAATTTTGAGGAATGTACTTGGAAAAGTATTTGGAGGAGATCAAATACATTTGTTTGTATTTGTATTTTGTACTTAAATGCTTTTTTGGAAATGTGATTAGAATTGTAATTAGATACATTTTTGACAAAGTATTTTGTATTTGTATTTCGATACATATTTGCATGTATTTTTCGCATCCCTGCCTACTGTAAACCATAAACAATGTTACATGAGATTCTAACCAAGAGCATCTGGAAAAGAAAGTGGCAAGGGAGACAATATTTAAAAGTTATAAAAGAACACTAGTATATAGTAGTATATGAAAATCTGATTTACAGAAGTAATTTTAGAGCGCAGCTCTTAGGCGTCTGTTTCCGGCTTGAGCGGCATCGCTGTCACCGTCAATGTAACCGCGCGGTGCATTATGGGTAAATTTCCCCACTAAATTTAGCGGACCCGCTAAATCTACCGGGAAAGTTTTCCCGCTAAATCTAGCGGAAAAATTTCTCCGCTAAATTTAGTGGAAAATTTTCCCCTAAATGGGAGGTGAGCAGGAGAGGAGGAGGGGCATAGCCTCCTCTCCATACCTTCCACTCCTCCTCCTCAGGAGCTGCGCTCTAATTCGGCGTTACAGGGAGTTGTAAACGGCTTTCACTTTTATTCTGAAGATGCTTTGTGCATGACTTATCAAATAGCTCAAGAAAAATTCACTGACAAAATTGTCATCAGCATAAAATTGTAAAAATTTTGTGTCTCAATCACAAATTCGTGCTAGAGCTTAGTAAAAATTTTTGTTCCAAGGTTTAAACAAGCTATAATTATGGGGCAGGACGAAAGGAGGCGACACAAAATTAATTCTATGTTCCCGCTGTAGTCCCCCACCTGGAACATTCCCTTACTACAACTGATAATCTTTGGTGACCCATCTAGAGGTGAAGTGGTTGAAACCACATGCACGAACTGACTTTTTTTACGAGCTTCATTCTAAAAACGATTTTCCCACTCTTAAAACAGACATGTGGAATTGACAAATGCTTTCCCCCCTTTGTCTTTGGCTACATGCCACCTTATATGAAATGCTCAGTGAATGAAATAAAAGTCCACATAAATTTCTCAAAACTATGTTTACAGGAAGGCAATTCCTTCCTGTGGTCATTCACAAGCATTCCATTGGCTACAACTTCATTCCTGCGGTATACGTGGAGAATAACCAGGAAGAAACATATTGAACCGTAAAACTCGTTTACAAAAAACACGGTGCAAAGCCAGAGCCCGTCTTCCCATTCAGGGACATTCTACTTGGATTCTTTCCAGCACGTGTCCCCAGAATACCTATACCAGATGCAGGGACTCGTGGCACATCGCTCTACACAGACAGGAACCTACAGCAACAACCAACAGCAAATCAAGACTATCGGGGGCGCAGATCTCATGCAACACACACTTAAATAAATAAAAACCTGGAGTACCGCCGAGTTCGAGGACCGGCTTACTTTCTTCTTCAAACTGGCCCGCCGCGAGCAAAAAACCGCCCCTAGAGTGCCTCAATGTTGTTTGCTGGCGGTGCCTCGTTAGAGTGGCGACATGCTTTAAAAGAACAAGAGCCGCCTTTCCGGTTGCGTCCATCACTTTGCCTCCCGCAACGCGTCGACCTCTGTTACGCGAGATTGGTAAATTGACGTGTGCCCGTGAAAATGCAGAATTAGAAAGTATACTCGTTGAAATTGCGATAAATTATTCCGAGTAGAGGCTGCCTCGACTTGGTAATGTAATGAAGCGTCGCAAATGCAGTCGTCCATACAACGTTGTCACATTATCATTAGACGCGGCACCAAAAACAAACGCATGCTTGACAGAATGCGAGCGCTACATGTCTTTAAAGTTATCCCACATTATTTCACAAGTGGTAGTGCTCAATAACTGCGTGGACAACTCATAAACAGTTACATATGAGTGGGAGACAGGATAGCGGCTCCCAGGGTTTTCCCCAGAAATTCAAATTAGGGGGGGGGGGGGGGGGGGGTCTAAATTTTTAGGGGAGGCCCTCCCATTGAGAATAGAGGAGTCATTGCAAATGAAGGGGGTGCCTTCAGAGAAACAAGGGGTGGTGTAAAGGGAAATCATTGGCGGCTTTGCTTTAATCACTGACAGAATGAGAACAGCAGGGCATGTGTTTGGAATGTCCGGCCTCCAGTACCCGCTCAATGCTCTCCACTGTGCTTTGGCTGCATGTGTGCCTTCGAGGCGCATGAGGTTTTGAAGTGTTAGTGAAGGCACGCAGCTCACACTGACAACTGAAGCTCCTCCCTGCCAGTCTCACCTTGTCAGTGACTAGGACACGACTAAGTTGTCCCCACTGTGGGGGGAGCTAATAAATGGCTGCATATGAGTGGGAGGCAAGATGGCGGCTCCACTTGCAGACAACAGAGTTGTCCCCACTTTGGAAGGACCGAATAAATGGCTACATATGATTGGGAGGCAAGATGGCAGCTTCGCTAGCAGACGAGAGAGTTGTCCCCACTCTGGAAGGACTGCATTAACGGCTACACGTGAGTGGGAGGCAAGATGGCAGCTCCGCTAGCAGACGAGAAAGTCGTCCCCACTCTGGGAGGACCGCCAGTCTGGCAACACCGAGGCACCCCAAGTGCCCCGCGAGCGCGGCGCCACCCTCACTGGGATGGCCGGGTGTCCAGTAGATGTGAAGCGGCCTGGTCGACGTCCCAGCTGAAGGCCCTGAGGGCGGCCTCGCACTCTCCGCGGCCGGCGATGCCCAGCACCTGCAGGTGCGCCAGCTGGATGTGGTGTAGTGCCAAGTCCACGTTGCCACCGGCTGCTGCCAGGGCCTGCCGGCACTCTCGGTCACTGGTGCCAGGCAGGCGGTCGCGCAGGGCGGCCACGGCCAGCGCGTGGGGGTCCCGCACGGCCGGCAGCAGCACGGGCTCCAGAATGTCCTCCTCCTTCTCGCGGCACGACCAGCAGGGGGGCACGACAGCCGGGCTCACCAGGAAGGGCCGCACCTGGGGCATGGGACAAGCAGGTCTGGGAGCTACCTCCCGCAGAAAGAAAGGGTTTCCTCCCTTACGAAAGGAGAAACCGAGGGGCGGTTCCCTTCTTCCTCCACGTTCGTCTGCTTTTAGAGTATGGGATGCCCCCAAAAATATTTACAGCGTTTTCGTCACTGCAGAAATAAACTATGCATCACCGAATGCTCATTCTCCGCTCAAATGTAGAGTTAGCGGTTCGAACCGAATGCCAAAGTTTTGAAACTAACCGTTATCTCAATCAAAGTTATGTTATTTTCCGAAAATTTTAATGGGAAATTGGGGCCCATTTTCAGTAACTGGCGCCGTTCAGCTGCATTTACTCGAGAGCTTCGTCAGCTGCCAATTTCCCATTGAAAATTTCAGAAAATCACTTATAACTTTTGAACGAGATAAAGATTTGTTCTGAAACTTTGGCAACTAGTTCCGACAGCTAGCGCTACCTGTGGGCGGAGAATGAGTGTTTGGCGACGTATAGTTTATTTTTTCGGTAGAAAGAAAACCTGTAAATTTTTGGGGGGGGAGAAAACCTGTAAATTTTGCATGGCATAAACTGAAGTGCCGGTACAAATTCTTTGTGCTCCACGGTGGCTGGTGCAGCAAAAGTTTGATTAGAAAACACAAGAAATGGTGCAAGCGGGGTATTCCCTAGAACGTTGTAACTAATACCTGAAGCTACATGAGCTTGCACTCTGTGAAAGTTGTTGCAAGAGTTGCCAAACCGATTCATTACCAAAAATTTCTATTGAAGGTCATTGCCTAAAAGGACAAACTAAGTGGTACTGCCCTGGCCAGCCACAAAGACGAAGGGCCCAAACTTAACTTCAAGACAGGGTAATTTCTCGGGCAAAGAAACTGCCCAATGTTTATGACTAAGAGATTTTGTTTAGTATTTGCAGGTCCTGTATGTCTTCAGCAAGTAATGCCTTTCTACATAAATAAATTTAAATTTATTAGAGTACTTAAAAAAATTTCATTCTTGTATCTGAGCACGAAAACTGAAAGAGCACGTTAAAAATTGAGATCATAACGGCTGACACAGAGGGCAAACACAGCTGGCCACTTCGCTTAGCTAACGAAGAAAAAGTTCACGTCAGTGTGCAAGGCATCAAAGGTAGGCAAAGCCGAATGGTGAGAAAAATGGCTATGTGGCTGCCACTGCATTACATCCATCACTGTATTGTCTTCTAAAGATCTGAAAACTACAATCAGATTCAATGCTGGAAAATATGGCCATGGCATAAAGTCTGAGATCTTGTCGCACTACGCTTTTCCTCAGTTGTCCCACACTTGGAAATTGAATCAAAACACAATGCCCGTTTCACTAGATGCATCTTTGCAATCTTTTCGTACTGCTAGGAAATTTTGCACAGCAACACGAGGACGCAAACTAAATAAAGGCGAATCGACGTCTATGGTTAAAAAGTGGTTCACAGGAAATGTCGCCACCCTATGCAAGTTTACAAGGATTCATCTGAATCTGGCAATGTTTGGCTCTCCATAGGAGTGACAGCAGATTGCAGACTGTCCTTAAAGGGCAACTCTGGTCGGAAACAGAAGCAAAATAAATGACTGGTGATGTTTTAGTGGCACGAAACATGACCACAGCTGAAATATTACGTCAAATTGAAGCTGCATACTCCACTAAAATCGATTTTACACATGCGACCAGCTGCTTTTTAGCAAGTGGCAAGCGGTTTAGCTTTTAGTCAAGCAACGCTGGGCAATGCGTACCGGAGCAACGCGAGATGCCACATCACGGTAATGCTGCAATGGATACCACACACTGTACCGTGCACCGCAGCACCACGGTGGTGACATCACGTCGCGACCGTACAGCTGATGATCAGTGTTGCCATCGCTCTATAGCAGGTAGTTTCGGTTTTGCCGCATAAAACTACACACAATTAAGGGACATTGAATCAGTGGCGGATCAAAGAGGGGGGGGGGGGCGACGGGGCGGCAACTTCCCCCCCCCCCCCCCCCCAAACAAAGACGACCCCCCCCCCCTTTCTTGGACGACAATTTGACATTGGTGGACCCCCCGGTGCACACGAAAGAACGGGAGAATAGTATCCTTACAAATTTTCCGCCCGCCCCCCCCCCCCCCCCCGCAACGGAGTTTTGGATCCGCCCCCGCATTAAATAAGCTGAAAATAGTTGTAATCCCAGATTTAAAAAATATTGACCAGAGTTTCCCTTTAAAGGAAGCTCAACCGTGATTTCAGTAAGCTATACCCCAAGTCAACGTACATTGGTCCAGATAATTAATGAGCAAAAGTTGTCAATGTTGTATACTGTGTGATATTGTCATCAGGCTAAACTTTCTGCAACCAAGAATGTATGCTCGTAGAGGTCACACATTATCGCTAGGGTCCCTTGTTTTCAATAAATACCGATAAACCCCCTAAGAGTAGCCCCCGAGCCAATTTGATCAAAATCGAGAAAAACCGAGAGACCCCAAATCAGAGCCATCCTCGAATAAGAACACCCCAAGCTTCACAAAAAGAACCTTTATCGACAGCTTTATTTCATGTTCATCCGGATGACAGCCCTGACTTAACTGACTGCAAGCCTCCCTCTTCTTTTATGAACCATGTCCACTGTCCCACTTCCTTCTCTTATCGGTTCCAGAACATTTTTGAAAGTATTGCGGTCACACGCATTTCTCCGGAGGGTGGGGAACCACGAGCCCATTTTCTTCAACATGGGTCCCAACAAACGGCAATTTTTACGCCACGCCGAAATAACCCTGAATCTGTGGGGAAAACTAAACCCCTAAAAAAAACCACCTCCAAATTTGAGGAAAGATAATACTCCAAAAAAGAGGAGCCCTACTTATCACTGGCAAAAAATTAAAAATAAAGGAAAAGAAAAAAAAAGACAAAGGGTTCCAGGATTGAGAACAAATTCTGCTTTATTGACTAATGACCCATTAAGAGAGACAATTCCCAACTGAGCATTTCAAAAGGATACTTTCACGGAACAAAAGTGGACAGCAACCGTGTGCCACGCTCTACGCTGCTTTTTGAAGAATTTGTGTTTTGAAACAATACAAATCTGTTCAGATGTTTGCTGATATTTGTAAGGTTCAGTTTCGTTTTCTATTCAGATCCAAAAATCAAGTGTGAACAAATAACACAATATAAGAAGGATCACAAATTAACGATGTGACCATGCTTTCAGCATGTGGCTAATCTAGGTATGCCGCCGAGGAAATTGATTCGCTGCGATCCCAGCACAGACAACCATCTGTCGCTTTTTGTCCTTCGCAGATTTCCTTGCGCACCGTAGCAATTTGTGTTCCTTGATGTATATTAAAAAAATAACAAATGAGAGGTATGAAAACCAGGTAAAAAGTGTGCGCCCATCGAGTACACTCTTCCCAACTTGGGAAACTATCTTCGTTTGAATGTTGGGAAGATAATAAATAAACAAACACGAAAAAGACTCAACAAACAAAAACATTTCGTTGCTCCCCCTCTCTCAAGCAGCGAATCTCGCAGAGCCTCCATTTACAAGCACCCTGCACTCTCTCTCACAAACCTGCAAACCAGGTAGCACATTCTCCCTTTCGCCAAATCACGTCGCATCAAGAAATTGTAAAAGGCATTGAGTGGGCACCCAAAAGAGGCCGTAGCATTTCACCTATCGCTAATCTAGCGTCTGCCCGTAGTTCTCCGTCCAAGCAACGCGGGTTCGGGCGGCGGTGTAGGAGGGGGGGGTCACGTCCGTCTCGGCCCGCACCCCACCTGAGCGAGCGCAGGCGCGGGCGGCGGCGGCGACTGCTGCAGCAGGTCGACCCCGGTCACTCGGATGTCGTTGGGGAAGTGATGCCCTGTCTGCTTCTTTGTCTGCGGTGGAGGCCTCAGCAGCGGCACGTCCGTCGACCCGTGCTGGGTGTACTGCCCCAACTTCGGATGCCGGTCGAGGTTCTTGCACGGTCGCGGAGACGTCATCGACGGCGACAGCGTGGTGTGCCCGTCGACGCGGTTCTCGGAGCCGAGCCGCATCTGGTCCATCTTGCAGTCGAGCCAGTCGAACGCCTCCGTCGTCTGCCGCGACGGGGCAGCAGCGGCGGGGGGTGTGGAAGAGAGCAGGTCGTCCACGCTGAGCGAGGGGCAGCTGCTGACCCGTGTCAGGTTCCCGTAGTCCCTGGTGACGTCGTCCGCCACGAACGAGTAGTACCGGTCTGCCGTCCGCTCGTCGCAGCAGCCCGGCACCGTCTCCAGGGAAGAGACGTTGCAGTAGGAGCGTTCCGCCGTGGTCGAGGAGACGTTGTAGTATGTCACTATCGACTCCCTCGGAGTCTCGGGGGCGCCGAGACCATCGCTCGTCGGCGCCCGCTGCAGGGTGGTGTCTACGTCACTGGTGAAGTCGATCAGCACCCCCTCCTTCACGGGGCTTGGCACAAACACCGATGGGGGCCTCTCCGACCGGGCAACATCGGAAGAGGGGCGAGCGTCGCGGGGGCGGCGGACGCGCTCCTCCGGGTCGCACTTTTCGTCGACAAAGCGGTTGTAGCCGTACTGGCGGATGACGGTGGTCTTCTTGGCGATGGGGTTGTGGTGCTGGGAGCGGCGGGCAAGCTCCTGCAGGCGGGCAGAGAGGGCGGGCGGCTCCGGCGGCAGCCCCAGCACGTCGGGCGGCTCCATCGGGTTGCGCAGGTACATGTCGTCGATGAAGGCCGGGCTGCCCCAGGTGCGGCCGCTGGCGTCGCCGTGGCCCGTGTGGATGAAGCTGTTGCGCAGAGGGCGGCTGATGTCCCGAGGGCTCCTGCGGCACAGGGACTCGCAGGCGCAGCGGGGGAAGTCCCCCACTCGGAAGGTGCGCTGGCTCTGGCCCTTCCACCAGTAGTTCTCTGTGCGGCCGTCCACCACCTCCACCAGGTCCCCCACCTCTAGCTCCAGGCGCGGAGGGGCCTCCTGCAGACGATGCACGCGAGGGGATTCGATCGCTTCAAAAACAAGGGTGAGATCTAAGTTGGCTCTCCCGGAGAGCTTCATTAGCAGATGGTTTGTCTGCCAACGTGAGCGAAGAACTTGGTTTGTCTGCTACGAAGCGTCACTCATGGACAAAAATAAAATGAGAAAGCACTTTCACAGTGTCTATTCCTTCACCTATAATTAGAAATCCGTTTTTTTTTAAGTTCATTTTTCATGAAATTTGGAGGGTGTAATTCGAAGTTTATTTTTTGTCAAAAATTTGAAGTTTATCGGAGTTTATTTTTGTTTGATTCCCAATTCTCTGAGATTCTGGGTTTAATTTCACAGTGTTTCTTATTAAAAATAAATAAATAATATCCGGGTGTAAACATATACTGGACAAAAAAAAAAGGATTGTATCAATTAATATTTCCTTCAGTTGTATTTGGCATTGGTGCCATTACTACTGGCAATACCAATTTTTCCTACAACAAAAGTTGCATACAAGTGTTTCTTCGATAAATGTCGATACCTTGAAATCAATAAACTCCTGGAGGTAGTCACTGGGAAGTTTGTATTCATTCCATATTATTCCACGAACCTAACGCACAGCTGCGTGAGTTAGAGTGGTAAAGAATGTAATAGAAAAGTTTCAAATGTCCCACTTCTCCACTTAATGCGATATCTATGGTCCATAGTTTTCATTGTTACAAAAACACAACCTATCCTTTCTCTAAAGCACAAATAGTATGACCCAAACAGGAAACGTAAACAGTGACTTCTGTCCTGACCCGAAAGTACAATGACCTTTAGTCATGACCGAAATTTTAAACAAAGGTGTAACAACGTTTTCCCAGGACCATTAACTCTATACGCTGATCAAACCATTAACTGTAAAATCCTTTTGTTTGTTTGTTTGTTTGTTTGTTTGTTTGTTTGTTTGTTTGTTTGTTTGTTTGTTTGTTTGTTTGTTTGTTTGTTT